AACTGAAGCTACCACAGGTTCTTTTTCATGTTTGGAAGGAGAGGGTGAGGTGAGGGGTGTTCAGCTGCAACATGAAACTTCAACACTAGATATCACAAAGTTCTTCACACTGAACCTTTTAAATAAGAATACTTGTAGGCCTCATAGTCCCTTTACTCTGTTATTTAACACACACTTGACAGCTGGAATTATTCTGCACAATCAGATGTTTGCACACAATAAGTTTAGATTATAAAATAGGGCTGCAACTGATGATGATTTAGTTTCTGAGTTTTATATCTAGAGCGAGACAATGTGGATTATTGTGGGATGAAACCGATTTTGATATCAGGGGGTAAAAAATGTCCAATAACAGAGATAAAGATGTTCTTATCAAACCCTAACGACAACTCTGGGCTTGATAGTTTATGACCATAAACTTTATTAAAATAACAAACAAAAAAACTTAAACAACCAAATACCAAAGAACTTGAATAAAGAAAATAAATATATCGTTTTTGAATCTTTTCTGCAATAATAAAAAAGGTAATATTGTCAAAATTTCATATTGATCAGCCTGTGGCAGGTCTGTCTTAGCAGACTTATGTTTAGTAACAAAACAGGTCTTTAATAATTTGAAAACGAGCCACAGCACAGGCCCATAGTCTGGTCTGATGTTTGTTTAGATGGACTGAGCCATGTAAGTGTTGGAAAACATCCGAGTGAGAAAGTCATGGGAAGTTTCCCCTGGGCCCTGGGGCCTCACATACTTGATGGTCCAGTACTGCTCTGCTGATCTTTTTAAAGCTCAGCTCGGAGAGAGAACACTTCTTCATCTCATGTTAAATTATCCTCTTATGTGCCTTTAGGAACTCCCATTTTAAGTTCATGATTCCATACGAATGATTGTTTAGGTCATTCACTCCACCATCGCCAGAGCATCTTACAAGAGCTTTCAATTCTCCTGAAAGAAGAGCAACAAGAGCACGAGCACTAACCCTGTCATTTCCTCTTCTGTGCAATATATTGCATATCTTGTTGGTTGTCTGATGACACACAGGAAACAAGATAATAATGTCACTGTGAGTGTTTTCCACATTGTTTTGCCAGGAAGATGAATTTCGTTGTGAACAAACTTTATCTAAATGTTTTCCAGTAAGGAAGGTTCATATAGGAATGTAAACAGGGAGAATGTAACTACACTAAAGGGCAATGCACCTCTAAAGAGCTCACTCTTCCTTCCTCCCATGTTCCACAGTCTGACGCAGGACTAGTACGTCACTCATCCCCCCGCCTCTATATTTAGAGAAACAGTCTGTGCTTCCCCCTGATGGGTGGAGTGCCTTACGAAAGTAGCTGCAACATGATTTTCATGTTTTATTCAGCACACGAATGCTCATTATCATGTTAAATCCACTTGTCCACTGTTTGTTTATGTTTCAGAATCTAGAGCTGCACTCATGGACGTCTGCAGGGCCCCTGAATATGCACGTTAGAAACTAGCTGAAAATGCAGGGGGCCATTGCACGAGTGTGCGTGGTGGTGGCCGCCGCCATATTGAACCACCCGTTGCTCTTCCCTCAAGAGAACACTACGCTCCCGGAGCAGGACGAGGCGTTGATGACTCGCATGCGGGAGCACGAGGAGAGGCTGGAAGTGGAGCAGGCCAGGCTGGAGAAAGAGCTCGCACAGCAGGAATCCCAGCAGGAGGAGACCAGCTTGGAGGGAGGCTACAGTTGGTACTTTTGGAGCACCGTGTCATTGATCATATTCTTCACTATCGAGATGTGCAAGGTGGATCTTGCTGACACGGAAATCCGTCCGTCAGAGGATGAGGACATATTTTCAGAAGGTGGAGCCATCACGCCCAGGACAATGGTGCTGGATAAAGATATCCTGAGAAGCTTCTGTGACAAATGCACCTACAGTTCAGCCCATGAAAACTGGAGGGTGAGGGAGTTTGTTGAGGGTTTTGCAGACGATTTACTGGAATCGCTCAGGAGTGTGTGCGACAGAGAGGCAGACATGGAAGTCTGGGACTTTGTCGGGATTGGGAGCATGTTCGAGTCTTGGAAGGTGTGCAAGCCTCTAACCTGCGACCTGATAGTGCCTTTCTCGCCTCCAGATCCATATTCCTTCCAGTTCGAACTGTGGTGCAGCCCCAGCAGTGACATGCCTCCAGACATGCAGGGCTGTGGCAGGATAAAGGTGACCCGGCCTGGCGAGAGCGAGGAGGGCTGCCTCTGTGGCTCTGCTAATCTCGGAGAGGACATGCTCTGCCTGTTGCACGGCAAGAATGAAGCCATCAAGGTGCACCGCAGTCCGGATGAGCTGCTGTGCTCCAGGAACACGCCTTTCTTAGCCAAAGATCAGGTCATGAAGTGGTTTCAGATCTCTGTTACCAAAGCATGGGGACGCATCTCTCACAAATATGACTTTGAGGTCACTTTTCGCAACTTGGACGCCGCCGGTGCTCTGAAGATCCGATTTCGTTCAGGGAAAGTCATCGTCCTGAACATCATACCGGTGGTACAGCTGGGGGATTCAGATGCTTACTTTGTCTCACACTTCCCGTCAGATTGCGACAGCTCTCCAGACCCGCTCTGGCCGCTCTCTTTCGCTGTGTACGAGAGGAACTTGCTGAAACATTTCACGAAACGCCTTCCACAAAATTCCTGTCACTTACACTGTCTTAGGATTGTCACGTTCCTGCACAGAAAGCAGACGGGGCTCACGGGAAAGAGCGCCCTCACGAACTACCACTTGAAGACCGCCCTGTTGCACTTGTTGCTGAGTAAGAGGCCCTCTGCGTGGGGCATGGAGAGCATGGAGCACAGGCTTCAGGACGTGCTCGGACTCTTGCAGAGGAGCCTGCAGGAGAAGAGACTTCACCACGTTCTCATCGGGAACAGTAGAGTGCCGGGAGATGTCCAGCTTCCTGAGATCATTAGAAAAGCGCAGCCCCTCAATCTGTTTAGGTCCTTGGTGCTGCAGACGGAGCTGTACGCTGCAACAGTCAGACATTTTCAGGAGATGTTGAGAAATGCACCTGCGCTCATACAAGAATACACACCTCACTTATCAAACGGAGGTTTACACCACAGACTCGACGACAGTTTGTGAGCTTCGGTGACGTTCGGAGTCTGAATTATTTAAAACCTTTAGCACGAGCAGGTCTTTATATATCACTCTGTGTAACCAAAGGTGATGTTTCGAATTGAAGGTGTGAACACACAACAATTATTTTAAATTGTGGCTGAGCTGCTTTAATTGCACTTGATATTAACCAGTGTATTGGGAATATGGAGCCAAACTAATACATATACTGTATATTTATTCAGTATTTCAAGAGTGGGTTGTGCTGTGTATAAAACATAGTCTACTATACAGCCATTTTTAAAGATAAGTCAGAAGGACTGTTGTTAAACCTAAAAATCAAAATCAGAAAACAAGAAATGTCTGCACTCTGTTGATGCTCCCTTTTTTATTTTACCTCCTGGGTAGGTTCTTACCTCGGGTGGAGGTATGATCCATCAAATGGTCTGTGGACATTTCTTCTCTTCTGGTTTTCACTTCAGTCCTACACCTAGTGTTTATCATGTTGTGGGCCTACCTCTCCGTGTTTCTTTCTCTGCTTCTTTAACAAAAGCGGCAAAAACTAATTCATGAGGAAATATATTTTTTTAAACTTAACAATTTTAACAGAAATACCTCAAATATTGTGCCGACCTAAATGGAAATAATTGACCAAATATTATAGCAGCTATTTTTTTTGCTTTCATTCACACAAATCTTAAGGCAGCTAATAATTTCCACTTTTGCTTATTGGAGAGAACAACTTAATTTGCCTGTTCCACTATGTCAATGTCAAATCTTTGATGGGGCCTCAGTTTGTGAAACGGGTACACGCATTTGTCAGGAAAACATGTTTTTTGTTTAACACAAAAACAGACTCGGCCATTTCATTGATCAATTTATTAGAAAAAAGGTGCCACGTAGTGAGATTGGTCATTGAAAACATCCTTAGTCATTCCCTTTATATTGATTTGATTTTTAAAAACAAAAAAGGTTTGTCTGATTACAAAGTCATACATGACTCCACAATGTCCCAAAACATTAAGGTAAATGGAAGGTTTTAAGGTTTTGGTGAGTGCTTCTTTTACAGGCCATAGTCGTAGTTGGGGTTCCCCTCCATGTAAGTCTTGTAAAAGCCCTTGTAGGTGTCCACACTGTGCCTGGTGGCTTTGACAGCTGTGTCCTCCGACATGCTCTCCATCCACTTCTTCAGCTCAGGTGCGTCATCAAGACAGCTAAAAGACAGAGGGTATCAAATCCTTCACTTAGTTAAAGCACCACAACACGTGAACTTCAATCACACTTATAAAACCTGGCATGTCAGGGAGTAAAGATGACAAAGAAGACTTGACTTTTATGTCTAACTTTTGTACCTTCCCCTCTGTTTGTACTTTTGCTCCTCTCTTAAGTGTGTTTAAATGCTTCTATAAATAAAATGTATTTATTTTTAAACGTCTTCAGATTTATTTACTTACTGCTGTAATTCAAAGATCTCCAGCCTCTCAAAGAATGGCCACATCATGTAGTCAATCATTGTGATGGAGTCACCGCCAAAGAACTTGGTCTTCCTCTCAACCAGGTCCTGAAGAATAAGCAACAATATAAAGGTGTGGTCATTAGCGAGGGATACTTGAATACTTTGTTCTCCATCTTTGAACATTTAAAACAAAATGTATTGGCATTACAGTTGACAACACAAGCCCAGTGAATACATATACAACAAGAGCAACCTGCCTCATTAAATTTCTTAAACTTCTCTTTCAGTTCAGCTTCCAGTTCCGAGACATCCTCACCATTAGTCCTCCCGGCTGGAATCTTGCGAAAGAAGGGTATTACCTGTAGAGAGCAGTGGCATTAAAATGATTGTTTGCTGATGGAAACTATAGATATGTTTGCAAAACAACCCCCCCCCCCCAAGATGTAGATGCAGGGTTGTTGTTTTTAATTATACCTTGGAAAAGTGCTCCAGCATCATCTTCTGCTGTGCTTTACCGAAAGGAGATGAAGGAAGCAGCTTCTTTTCCGGGTAAACTTCATCCAGGTAATCACAGGTGATTGGAGACTCGTATATCACCTCACCAGCAGGTGTCTCCAGTGTTGGGACCAGACCAAGAGGATTCCTCTCAAGGAACCAGTCAGGTTTATCTTTCAGGTTGATGTTGATGGTTTCGTGTCTAAAACAAAAAAAAGGTCAGAGCATGTTCCTATAGTAATTCAGTACTCTTTAGTATTTTAAAATGTCCTTTACTTGATTCCTTTGGCATTCAGCACTAATTTAGCTCTCTGGGCAAACGGGCAGAATCTCATGTTGTAAAGCCGGATGTGTCCTTTGGGGACTGGACCAGGTGCAGCGCTTCCTGAAAGGTAAAACATTTTTTTGTTTTCTGTACATGACAGACTAAGGGGACATATTCACTTTATGTTTGCTACCATTAATGCCTGATAGTAACCATTTACTTTATTATCAAACATGATTATTTAAGTATGATGCATTATTATTATTTTTATTATACATCAACCAGCAATAATGACAACCCTAAAATATACTTTATGTAAGGAAAAGTGTCTCCGTAGCTTACTTCTTCCACCAAAATTAAACTGTTCAATTAAAACATAATTTCTGTCATTTACAATCACACAGGAGAGATCGAGTGTTATTTGTATTAAATAAGTGTAAATGTGTAGTTTCTGTAAAGCTTCGGTTGTTTGCATTTCATCAGTGGATCCACAGTGAGTCACTGTACACTGCTTTACTCGAGTACACGAGCCCAGTACATCAAGTACTGCTACATTTACTCAAGTTTAGATAGTAGTTACTTCAAAATGATACTTGCAAATATAATCAACAAGTAACTTACTGTGATTTATATATAGGATATATCCGGACAGGTTGAACTGATAGCTCAGTTAAGTGAGTAGCAGGCTATGACTCCTCAGCTAACCAGCTAACAGCTGTTCGTCTTACCTTTAGCGAAACACTTCTCAGTGGACATGTTTGAGCTCCAGGAGGTGGTGGGTGTCCGTGTGGGGAAAGGTCTCGGTCTTGGTGCGGACGGATAAAGTCTGTAAACGAGGGAGAACACGTGCAACGCGCAGCGACTTAGCTCCCTGTGGCTAAAATTTCATTTTGTTATCTACTTCCGGGATGGGCGGTTCCGAATAAAAAATCAGCCGTTCAGCGTGACTGTGCAGTATCCTGGTTGCCATGGTTACGCAGCGACATGTTAGCCTGACTGCCTGAGGTCGCGACAAGAAGCCGTAGTTTTAATATTATATTAAAATGGACGTCATTGGAAGTTTAGAAGTCAGGTAGGTGTACATGTGCAATATAATACTGTTTATTCTTACGGACAAACAATGTGAGTACAACATGTTTTTAATGTTTCCACGGCTGTTAGCCACCTAGCTCACATTTGTGTTGTGCTACTCCTTCCAGGGGGATTCAAGGTTTCACAAGCAGCCCCATCGAGTTTGTGGACAATAACACGATATGTTACACATGTGGGAATCACATCTGTTTCCTCAACCTGAAAACTAAATCAAAAAGTTTGCTCCAGGGCCCCGGCAGAGGCATTGGTGCATTCACAGCCAGAGGCACCAGTGGGATTTTTGCCTTTTCTGAGCAAAATGTGTCCCCATCTATATTTGTGTACGCGTTCCCCGAGCTTCACATGAAGAATGAACTCAAAGGTAACATGCTGTTTACTCACAGATGATCAGGTAAACTGTTCATTAAAGCATATGTGTCTAAATTGTCCGATGATAGCTGAAATCACTCAGGACCACAATCACCAATATCTTTAATATGTATGTATACATGACAGCATGTGCAATGATTTATGTGAAATCATGTTCATAATTACCAGGTCCATCTTTCCTGCTCACTGTTAATCATTAACCATATGCATTGTCCTACACAAGACCAGTTTAATAGTGAAAAACAAATGTAATTTCTCTGAACTTGAGAGATTGCAAATATCACAGCACTTAGAGGAAGGTTCATGTACACTAGAACAGATATTCAAAACAGGAACTTGTTTATTATATTGGATTAATTTTGAGGGGATTGGATTGAATCATTATTTTCTGTTTGCATACATCATACATATTGTTTTTCCACATATAATTATTAAATTTTGATTATTTTTCTAGGAAAAGCACAACTGGACTACACATCTCTGGCATTAAGTGATGGTGGCCCTTATTTGGGCTGTTGCACTTCTCTTCCAGACCACACCATAACAGTGTGGTGAGCCACTGAAATCAGTCCACAACCTCATTGTCTGTGTCACATCTTTTTTTAGTGATGTTTATTTACATTGAGCAGATCTGTTACTTTAATCATGACTGTGTGATGCAGGAACTGGGAAACTGCCGAGCCAGTCTGCACACAACCACAAGCCGGGAAAGATGTCATTTCTTTGGTGTTCAACCCAATGAATTGGCTTCAGCTTTGTGCTCTGGGCACTGCATCCATTACTGTGTGGAATATTGAGAAGAGTGCCAGCCTCCATGTACTGAAACCATGGTAAAGCTAACTTGGCAGTATGAGCCTGTGGTTAAAATCTAAATTGATAAATGGATATTTTTGAATATTGAATATAAAACGTATAACTGAAACTGCATTATCTGTATTCATATTAATGTTAATAAGGACCAATTGCAGTGGGGACTGAAAAATACATGCAGTGACAAGATTACACAGTGTGAAGCAGTGCTACATGCATATGTCATATTTGTTGCGTTACAGTGTGGTTCAACTTCCTGCAAGTGATGGATCCTTGGCTGAGAGATTGGGGCCCACCTCTTATAACATCAAGGGCAACAAGGCAGATACCGTTGTGGTACAGTATTATCCCAATGTCCCTTAAATACCAGTACAGACTACAAAATACACTTACAAATACACTCAGTATGTTTGTTTTGATGTTGGAGCTGGGAAAAATGATTTGCTCTCCGGCACATGAATAAAGACAATATGCTAACTGTTACCTGACACCACATGTCTGTTCACACAGACAAAACTCACCTCTGGAGCCAGACTGACTCCTAGTGCCATCTGCTGGACAACCACATCAGATCTCTTTGTGGGCTGTGCAGAGGGATTTCTATTCCTTGTTAATCCAGAGAACCTCTCTGTGACTGTCCTCTTTAACCCCACAAGTAAGCAAACACACAAAGTGGGAGTCTTTGACTTATTCTTGGGTATTTCCACTTTTCCATGTATGCATTACCTAATTTCATTTGGCAACAGAAAAGACTTTTGACATCTGATCTGTGTTGTCAGCTCCGGATGTTGCCCCTGATCTCGCTGATCTTAGACAGAGCAGCTTTCAAGGTTTAACCCTTAACAAGAATGGTGTGATCGCTGTAATGAAGGTACTTCCATCTACTTTCACTCTTTCATTTCTGTACCAACCAGTGATATGATTTGCAGTTCCAGGCATCAGGAATTCATAGTATCTTTAAAATTTGTATGTTCCACAGGACAGTGTGGTGCACTGTCTGCAAATCAAAGGGACTCAGATTGACATCACACAAACGTGGCAGATAGAAGGAACTGCCACAACTGCAATCTACTCCCCTGACTATGAAACATTACTTCTATCTTCCAATACAGTAAGCACTCATGTATACTCTAATAGTTACTTAAGAGAAAATATATATTGAAAAACATAATTGAGGATTGTTATTCTTCAGGGGCAGATCTACATGTTGAATTCGACCAGGTCAGACAAGATTGAGAAGGTCCTGGACATCCTCAGTGGGAACTTTGTGGCAGCAGCTTGGTCGCATTCTGACAAGAACATTTGTGTGGTAAAACATTTGTGTTCTTGTGAACTATAGTCTTCTGATAACACATGTTATTATGGTCAGTGTCTTGAGTGAGCGGTGATGATTGTGTTTTCACTGCTGGTCACAGTCAGTGAGGGATTCTGGAGAACTGCAGCTGTGGACCGTAGATGGCATGTGCCGTGGTTCCCTTCCTCTTCAAGCTGAGGTCAGATTCAGAACATATGAACATTCACAAGCACACATCATGCGAAAAAGACTTGTAAAAGACTTATAAACAGATGTAAACCTTTGATATGTGGTTGTTCAGGTGACCAGTGTGGCCTACTGTCCTATTGCGCAATATGCAGCTGTAGGAACTAAGTCAGGAAACGTCCTCTTTGTTGACCTGAACAGGGAGCAGGAGCCTCGCCTGGTGCACCAGGTTCAGCTCTACCACTCTTCCGTGGATCACCTGGTGTAAGTATCTTCCATCCCTGTGACCACAGAGGTTCAGTTTAAGACTGTCCTTGTGAAAAAGTATCTTACAACCTATATACATACATCTTTAAAATAGAGGCAGGAGCACTCGACCCAGAGAAGACCAGTTTTGGTCAGGAAAGCAAATGAAAATGTCACACCCAGTGATTACAGGCTTTCCTATATTGTGCAAATATACTGTGTGTGTGTGTGTGTCTGTGTGTGTGTATTTGTGTGGGTGTGTGTGCGCTTCAACAGTTTCGATCAAGAGGGGCACCACCTTCTAACTGGAGCTTCAGATTCAAATATCTATGTAATAGATGCAAAGCCATCAAAGAAGTTTCCAATCATAGGATACACAGGTAGATGGTCTTCTTTAACACTTCTTAATTGATTAGACGTGTTACTGCTCTTCTATACATAACAAAACTCTGTACATGTAAATATTAAAGATCTTTTCTGCTCAAAATTTATATAAAATCACTGATCTATAACTGTAATTCTTTACATAGACAGGAACAATGTATTTTTAGATATTGAGATAGAGTAGCTCAAGTTCATTTGCATACATTTCTTATTTGTTTTCTTTTCTAGTTGTTCCTGGACCCATTTTGTCACTTTCCACTCAGTGTGTCAGAGATGGTGAACAAGTGAAAGCCCTTGCACTGTGCGCTCGACAGGAAGGAAACAAGCATGACAGTAGTCTGTTCACACTGCCTGCAAAAGACCTTACAGGTACCTAACTGATTTTCGAGACTTATTCACTACTTTTACTACTTTATTTATTTTTTGTTTGAGAACAGATTAGAGGCCAGTGGCTCTCGTTCCTAGTTTGTTGGGGATGTATCAAAGAGGCAAGATGAGGGCCTCATATATGACACTTTATTCATCATGTGTTGACACAGTTCAACAAATTCGGACAGATGTAAGAGGCCCACTGCAGACATGAGTTATGTTGAAACACTGAACAAAGGAGAGGAATTTATTTTGCAGCCAGCAGCTAATGAATCATCTGCTTTAGGTGAGATGAGGTTTATAAGATGATTAATGGTATTAAACCAATTTCAAGGAATGTGCTGGCTAGTGGAAATTGTAATTGTGTAATAATGGCCTGTGGCTACTTTTATATCAGCGTTACGTAAATTGAATAAATCTTTGAGCTCACTGGACATCCACTGGCCTCTGCTGTTTTAAGGCAGTAAATCTTTTCATTTGACAGAGCCATATTCAGAGGGATAACTAATTAATACTACTTCAACAGGACATTTTTATCTAAATGTTTTGATAGGCCGTCACAAACGCTGTTAATAAGAAAGAACAATGACTGAGGGGCTTACAAAAACACACCCTTAGTTTATACAGCAGCTGAAGTTGAATAAGACAGACCATAAGACCGAGACGTCTCAAGAGGAAAGTGCAAAGATTAACTCTAAGCTCTAGATTCTAGGGTGTGGCAGTTGAGTGTGCCACACAGTTTACAAGACAGAAAAATGTGACTACTGTGCGATAAAAAGCTATTTGCATGATAGTTACAGAAAATACACTTTCACTTATTATATTCACTTATTGATTAGCTTTTTTGTATTTCTGGTGCTTCTCTCTTGACCTGCAGGCCCTGATGGTGTAGACCAACATGGTTGTCCGTCTCCTCACGTTCTAAAAGGCTCAATGAATGAAGTGTCTCATCCACTTGAGTCATGTGTTCTGGGAGTCAGCAAGATCTTTTCCTACTGCCACAGGAAGAAAACTCTTCAGCAGTTTCAGCTACCCCAGGTTTGCTGTCACTTAATACATCAGTAAATCATGATCTCTGTCTTCATTCCATCTTTCAGTCCAGTGCTCACCAAACATTTCTTTAGGATCATGATACTGAGCAGAATTCACTCTGTTTTTACCTTTGCGAGTTGGGGGATACCCAGCAGTCAACACATTCAAGGGCTTTACAATTTTGGAGAAGTCTTTAATGAATCTGTAGTAGTACCCGCAAAATCCCAAGAAAGATCTCAACTCCTTGAGATTTCCAGGCTTTGGCCAGGTTTTAAGGTCCTTGATTTTTTCGGGGTCTGTCTGAATTCCATTTTGTGAAACGATATGGCCTAGATATCTAACTGAAGACTGGAAAAATTTGCATTTTTCAGCTGAGAGTTTGACGCCATATTCTTTCAAATGAGTGAGGAAGCGCAGCAATCTCTCCTCGTGCTCTTCCAATGTTTCTGAAAAAATTATTAAATCATCAATGAATACAAGCACCTCCTTCAAGTTTAGGTCACCCATACAGAGCTGAAAAGTGCTGGGTGCGTTAGTGACCCCTTGTGGCATTCTATTGAATTGATAAAATCCCAAGGGACACACAAAAGCTGTTTTCTCCTTATCAGCTTCCTCCATCTCAATTTGGTAATAGCCAGATTTCAAATCCAAATCTGAAAACCACTTTGAGCCAGTTAAGGCCGAGAAAGCCTCTTCCAAGTTAATTTCAAACAAAATATTCATAAAACTACAATAAAAAATTGCAAAAAGCTGCTTCTTACCAAAGGGTCATGAACAGGGCTCTCCTGAAGCCTCAAAATGGTGACTGTGCGACACTGACGTACTACAGAACAAGCATATTTTTTAGTGCACTGTACCGTACATTTCACTGTTACATTGGTGCACAACATATACATTCAAACTCTATTTTACACAGTTACATATAAGACAAAGGTTTACAAAATGGTGATAGCCGCTAGCTTAACATTTCTATGAGCACTGCTCACTACCAGCGGCAGCCATTTATGCATCGTCATGAATTTACTTCACAATTTCTGGTCTCACAACTAATTCGCTTTGGATTCTTCTCAGAAGAATCCAAAACAACCAAAAACGAACACTGTTGGTCTCACTGGTGGTCACGGGCTGTCCATGAGAATTTCTGACTAAGAAATGTTTTACCGCGCATACAGCACACCTTTCTTCCATCTACTTCCTTTTTTAACAAATTCACACTACATTTCACATTAAGAGCATATATTTTTAACCTTTTTAACTTTTTAATGCAGCATCATGAATTTCTAATAAATAATCAATCAAACATTTATATTAACTGGGTTACACACATTACAGCAAAGTATCCTGAATGAGAGTTAGAGTGGCCAAACAGATGCCTCTTTCTTAGTAGCCTAATTTAGGTTATGTGTTCCTAATCTGTTAACATTACAAATACAAATTTATGAATCCCTGTTCTTCCTCTCAGGACACACATGGTCCCTCCAGTCCACAGGTGCTGAAACCAGAGCTTGAGGTGAAGGGCCATCCTCTGAAAGCATGAATCTGGTGTTTTTTTACTTAATGCCAAACAAATCTCACAATTGACAAAAACAATCATACAAAAAGTCTGATATAGCTCATTATTCTGTGTCACAGAGTTCCATTGTTGTCTAAATCTGTGAAAAACACATCGGTGAGTCACATCGTTTCACTGGGAGACGATTTCCTTTATTATGATCAACAGAAGCACAGGAGTTTATTTTGAGTCAATGCTATATGCATCATCCTGGTGCTTCCCCCAGCAAATGCTTTATTTGTTCCTGTTTGAGAAATGTTAGTGACCATGCTGCTTTAGAAACCAATTTATCCTTCTTTTTAAATTAAACAATTTATTTGAGACCTCCTTTTTAAAGATTTCTGTGAATATATGAGTGTCACAGGGAAGTCAGAATTTATAGAAATGGACTAACACACAGTTGGTTTTCTTGGAATATGTGGATGATAATTGAAATGTTTAGATATATTCCCAACATCATCATCACACTTTGATTTATTCATAGTTATATCACAGTTTACCCAGAAAATATGTTATGCACCTCACACTAAATACTGATTTATTTGACATTTTCCAGAGCTTTATCTTATTTTAAATCTTAAGATCTGAAAAAAAATTCACCATAACACAGAAAGAAACAAATAATTATAAAACTTAACTTTTCATTTAAAATAGCACATCATGTGTTTACAACAATGACATAGTAAATGGATTTCTGGATTAACTGGCAATCATTAGACCTCCATAACAAATATCTGCTCTCTCTACAATGATTATCTTATATGTTTTTCTCAGCAAGATAAAGGTGTGGAAGCCGAGGTGAAGAAAGCTTCTCAGTTTAGCAAGTCAATGGCTTATTTCTCAAAGAATAAATTCAACACAGAGAACCCTGTCCTCACTGAGTTGTCTGCAAGAATCCTGTTCAAACACCAAGCACCAAACTAACTGCTCTGCCTCTGTGGCTACAAAACAAACTGATCACTACAATTACAGAAAACACACTCGATGTAACAGGTACACCTACCCAAGTCAAATGCAGTCTAAAACAACAGCCTTACGATAAATCCCACTTTCAATATATGTACAATGCAATATTGCAATTATACTGAGTGGTTATTGTAAAATGAATTGTCCCTTATGTAAAGGAAAAACTATTAGGAATACTTAGGGTTAAAATAGTTAGTTCAATCATCACCACACTACATACTGCAATCTCAAAAATGATCTGAGTGGATTTAAAATATATAATGATGAATGTGAAACAGTTTGTTTCTCAGCTGTTTCAGCTTTGTATGAAGGCCACATACTTAGCTGAACCAGATCAACACTTTAATTAATGTTAATGCAAATATATTGCCTTCATTTATTTTTTATGTGTGTGTTTTATGTGTTTACATTGTGTAGGTCAGCAGTGGAGCAGAGACTGTTGATGTTTTGGAGCAGGATGAGAGTTCTAACATCCTCCTGTCTGCTCCACCTTCACACCCCACCTGGCTGGAAGGCAGACAAGATGCGGTCAGTGACTAACATGCTGTGGGTAATGTTCACTATGTTTAAATACGTCTCTCCTGCGTCCCGGGTGGAGGATTGTGAAAGTCCCCATTGCACCTGTGTATGATATCTTGTTCAAAATGCAGCTGTGTTGCCTTTGGCAGGCAACAGCTTGATTTATCGTCTCCTGCAATGTGAGAAAATCTAGCAATTAGTAGTTGAGTCCTATAAAGCAGATAAGCTTTGTAAAAAATAAATGTTCAGCACATAGTCACCAGACAAAGGTTATTGAAAACAATGGATTGATATCGAAGGTGTGGCAGTCTTTGAGTTGTGGGTTTCACGCCTCCTCTGCAACCACACATGGGATATGGGCAGAGGCATTTTACAGCCTGCTTTTTATTCAACAGCATACTTTCTAATCTGACTCACAGCGTATCATTAAATTTTTATGTTGTAAAATTGATCATTATAATACTGTCTGTTTGCAAGTCATGATTGGTGTACTTGCATGAAATAACAGGAAATGAATACAGGTCATTTTAGTACCCATGTTGTGCATTAGAGGTAGTGATACAAAAAATATTTTTATTCAAAAAGTAACAAAGGAAAAATTAAAATAAGTTAATTGGGGAAAACCTGAAATACTGAATTATGAAATTCATTCACTGCAAAAATGAAAACCCATTTGACCCATGTTGTGTATGAAAGGGTTAACACTATCTGGTTTGCTTTATTTTAGTTCAGTAAAAATCTCTCAGTGTTTTTCACTCTGTTTATATTGAACAGGTGATGGAAGAAGAAAATCAGAAATATTCTGAGATAAAAGAAAACCTGAGGAAAACCATTGAGGAGTTACGCAACACTGTAAGTGAGAGAACAACGTCCCACGCTGCACAAATACTGTATAATTAAATGCATTGTGTTTCATAAGTGCTTTCTGTTCAGTAAGAGTAATCCCTGTAATTACATATAGCTGCTGAGTACAAACAGCTTCATATACTCACACAATGGATTTGGGGGAAAAAATCTTAAATATCTTTCTGAATAGAAAGTGCTGGTAATAGATACATGAACAAACACAAGAAGCCACGCTAATCTAGTGGGATCTCCAATGATCAAAAAGAACATTTTACCTACCCTAATTACCAAACCCTTTAATTACCTCCGCCAGGGAGATTATCTTTTCATTGTTGCTTATCTGTTTGTCTGTCTGTTAGCAAGATTACATAAAACCTACAGAACTGATTCTATTGAAGGGAGGGCTTTGGCCCAAGGAAGAGCCCATTAACTTTTGGGGTGGATTCGATCAAGGGGGTGGATCAAGAAACACTTTCTTTAACATTGCGAAATAAGTAGTTATTCATCATTAATAATGCAGAGACGTTGATCAAAAATATCAGACATACTAAGAGGACTGATATCTAAGGTTTGTTGTGGCTTGATTGGTTTTAAGGGGACTGTTGGGCCTTGGTGGAGCTATGCCCTCTATTGAGTGGCATTCTAGTTTCTAATTGTATTAGTTTCTAGCACATAATAACACAGTGTGTCCCTCATAAAATAACCTACATACAAACATGTTGCATTTATAGTTCTATTTTTAGCAGTGTAGTGAAGGTATATTGAAGGTAGGTGTGTAATTACAAAACAAGTTTGTATTGTAAATGTCAGATCCAGGAGATGAGGTGTGAAAATGAGACCCTCCCAGCTATCGAGCGTCTGGCACAACAGGAGTTTAACCTGGATGTTGAGGATCAGAGACGTCAAGCGGCCGTGGTGGAGCAGGAGGTTACAAGGGTAAAACACAAATTTGACCCAGGTATACTTTAACTTGTCTGCAAGGTGAAGATGACAGTGAATCTTATTGCAATCACATTGTAGGTGAGAAAAGAAATTGAGTGGGAGATTTTGGTGAAATGTTACTTCCGTGATGTCCTGAAGAGAGCGTGTTGGGATTCAGTGAAGGTCAAGGGACGAGCCATTAAGGTAAGATCAGGAACAAGCATTGTTATATCCAACCTAAAACCATGTACATCATAATCTGTATATAATTAATTCTAAATACCTTTTGGTTGCCCACCACAGTCATTTCACTCTGAACATGAGGTGAAGAATTATCCTCTGGAGGAGCGAAGTGAGAAAGAGGTGGAGGAACTTCGCAGGGTTGAGAACATCAGGAAGATTGAAATGGCTGCCTGCACCGTAAGTAAAGCTCAGGCCTGAACAATTTGTGGTTTCAATTCTGAAAAAGAGGCACGTGTGATTAGTTAGAGAGGATTAGATTTTATTTGAATTCTAATTTGAAGCAGAACGCAGTGTGCAAAGTCACAGCACAAACATTTTCTGAAAGTTGTGACAATGCAACCTCTTCAGTGAGCTGTTTCCTTATGCTATGGAGGTACATTCTCTGGTAAAACCACCCTAGTCAAAAGGACTTAACTGCTGGAAAATAATTTGATGCTTTGAATCACTGTCCTTCCTTTGACCTTTCACTGTTGTGACTTTTTAAAATGCTTGAACAGGTGCCAGTCCACCACTGCTGAAATGTCTCTAGATTTACGAGTCTGTGGCCAAAAGCAAATGTTTTGGTTGCTCTCTTCACTGCAATATTCTGAGGATAAAGTTTATAATCTTGAAACCACTTATTCAACCCTCAACATTTATCTCAACCCTCTCATATAAAGTTGTCTTTTTCTGCACCTCTTCAGCAGTGTGACCTAAAGAAATGTTCCAATACATCCAGCTCGAAGGAGGAAGAGCAGGGGGAGGAAGACCATACAACTGAGAATGCTGCTGTTACAGGGAGTTTCTCCGCTCAGTTGGGATATTCAAACCCTTACATCTACAATCAGTTCAGCCTTAAAACCACAGAACAGAGGATCAACCAGTTTATTCTGCTACAGGTGGGAACCTCTTCCAAAAACTGTTGAGCAAAAACTGCTGAATTTTAACACCAGTGGGATTATCAGGCTTTTGTATCATGCAATGCTTTTCCAAAACACACAAAAGTGAAAAGGTGAAATAAAGAACAGATAAAAAGTCTGTTCAG